TGTTCCATAGTAGAGCTCAATTGCGTTCCTGCATCTTATGGCAGTGTGACTATTAGCGTACTGACTGGTTATGGTTACTACAAGGCTAGAATAGGTATCTGCAGCTATACAAATATATCGTTGCCTGCGATGTTAAGGTAAAGGGCCAATAAAATCAATTTACCATATTTCCCCACTGTGCGACCCTTGCTTAAGATACCCTAGCGGTTGTGAAAACACTTTCTGCTTTCTCAGAAATTGTCAAATTGTACACTCATTGAGAACTTGTTGCATTATTGCTTGGGGCATAAGAACCCCCCAGGCTTTTACCCAAGTAAGCGTTGCATAACGTTACGCATGCCCTGACTTATCATGTGCTAGATCAAGGCTAGAGCGTGATCCTCAGGACTGGCCATGGCTACTATCTACACTCTGGCTAGGTGGTCAACATGAACGTACCACTTTGCCATTTTTGTCTCCTCTTTTGTGTGGACATCTACATGGAAAACACGAACATCACAATCTTTTAGAGCATTCCAGATTCATTCCCAAAACTCTTTATCGGACACATCCTTCGTTCCTATTGTACATGTGTCCTGCTGCCATTTTCCTAGCCAATTCACCAGCCCTTGGGCCACGACCCAAGAGTCAGTATAGATGTAACAAATTTGATTGCACAGTGTAGCATCTATTGCTTGACACACAGCAGCCAGTTCAGCTAACTGACTGCTTCTTTGAGTTCCTTCTAAAACTAATCTCCTTTGGGTAGCAGGATTAAAGGCCACGGTGCGCCATTTTCCAGTCCCCGTACCACTGCCATCCATGAACCACGCATTTTGCCGTTGTTCTGGTGTCAATTGTTCATAGGGCAGACCCCAACGTCCTGCTTGGTAATTTATCATATCAGTTCCAGTGGTGCCAGCACTACCTTTGATGCCCAAAAAAAGGTAGATAAAAAACTGCTTAAAGGCAGAATTTTGAGCCTATAAACAGCAGGCATTTATTGAATGATTAACAACGCTGGGGTAGCTTCCAGCTCAGGCTGGACAAAAAAGCTCTGAAGTGGTTCAGTAAAAACAAGCAATTTATACAGTTTCTAATCATGATTACAACATAATCATATGCATAATCATATTATTGCATCATTAGATTACAATATTCATAGCAGGTGGAGGCGGGGTGGAGACTGAGGCATGGTCTCTAGTTTGAGGAATATTATGGTGGGAGTTCCTGCCTACCTTCATCCTGGGGTCTGCATTTTACTCATCTTCCTCGGGTGACATCCGTGACCTTTTGTTCTTTCCATTGTTCTGTGTTCTGATCATCCAGGTTTGAAGAAAACCTTGGCTCTAGGTCTACTTTACCTATTCAAATGTCTACCTTGGCTCCTCTGGATGAGATTTATGTGTGTTGTGTTCTTTGTCTAGTGTTTGTTGTGGTTCCTTTAAGGTCTAATGCTCTTAATACAGAACATAGCCTTCTTGTAAAAGTACAACTTACATTAAACGAAATACAGGGGGTAAGGGGGGCTCTTGTGGGTTTACAGTAAAAGTGTTTTGATTAACCCTTCCTGCTTCACCTTGTATCCCCTGACTTACTACTTCATGTAAGTGTAGGACTCCTTTAGGTCCTGGTTTGGCTCTCTCCTGCAGGTACCATTTCATCTTCATAATGGTAACTTCCTGATTATGGTAACAGTGTCCCCAATTCACTGTATCTTGCGTAATCTTCCCAGCACCCTGGCCAGGCCCACTGGGAGCCACAGCTCAGCTCCTCTGCCTATGAGAATTAATGACTATTACTTGAAATAGCATTCAATACAAACCAACCCCTGAGTTCCCAAAAAAAATAAAAAACTGAGCAGGGGAAGAAGATGGAGCACGGTGCACACTGGGGGAACACAGGCAGGCCATGTCCCCCCAGGGTGTCCCTCGGATCAAAGCAGTGTGCGTCCCATCTTCCTCACCCAAGTGGCCTTTTCAAATTGTGACACCGGCTCACGCGTGACCACCGCATGAACCAAAATCACAATAGCTTATGACACTAACTTCATACCAACGTCTCTATTGTATCTTTTCCAGAAGTTCCCAACAGTAAAACTATATAGTATTCTTCCATACCACATTGACACACACAACCATAGACTCACTACAGAAGGGTCTCAAATATGATTAAGATCCCTCAACCAGGCCTAAACCAATCAGTCAATTCAAAGCTCTAACTTCTTTCCCTCTCCTCATCAGTTTCAACACTATTTCTAGCTTTCTTCTACAAGTTCGACTATAGTTTGTGTGCGAGGGCATGTACACCTGTACCTATGGCTTAGTGTTTGCTGGTTCAAGGCACAAAACATACTGTACAAACAATTTCTCTTTTTTTTGTTGGTTTTTGTTTTTGTTTTTTTTTTGTTTTTTTTTGTTTTTTTTGTTTTTTTTAAGCTACCAAAACCAAAGTTACGGACTCTTAAATAATCAAATAGATTCAATGGTTTCAGCACTGTGCATCCACTTTTCAAAGGATTCATTCATCTAAGTCCTCCACTGTTTTTTTTTCTTTGTATCCAGGCTCTAGCCTCTGGGTTGTTGTTTGGCTTTTTTTTTTTTCTCTGTTCATTACTGCTGAAGCTGTCGCTGCCCCCACCTCCACTCTGGCTCCCCCGCTGCCCGAGCGAGGGGACGAAAAACGGTCAGGAACAGCTCCTGATTTTTTTTTCTTTCCCTTTTATTTTTTTTTTTTTTTTCCTTTATTGCTGCAGTTGCCACCTGTCCCCTGCCATTCCCCACGGCTCCTGCACGGCTCCTGCACGGCGGCCTGGCCCCAGACCAGCCTCTTAACGATCCCCAGAGGGCATTCCAATGCTCCTCCGTCCATTCAGGACGCCCAACGGGAGGGGCACCTCCAGGACCACCACGCCGGGGCCTCAACACCTCTACCAACAAACTCATGCACCTTTCCACTACACACAGACTCCAACACGCCCACACACAGCAGCACCAGACTCAGGGAGAGTCCTGCCGGACAGCAACCAGCCATCGCTGCATACAGCATCACTGTAGGGTCTAAGAAAAACCCCCGTTTAACAAGTAAGATACCACGGTACCATTAACAACACCTCGAGCTCACAACAGGAAGACAACACAACTAGCACGAGAACAACAAAAAACATGGTGTGACAGCTACACTCTTTAGCCTACCCCCCCCCAAACACAAGTGGCGCAGCCCCAAAAGTTATGTAGGTCCCACTTTTCTCAGTAATAAGCGTAGCAGCCCCGCAGGGTGGGTTCTCACACCCCACCCCCCCGCCGTGGTTCTGATTAACTATAAGAAACGCGGCACAGCCCCATGGAGCGATCCCTCCCCCCGCGTGCAGCATCACGGAGAGAGAGTCCTTTCCCCCGCAGGTCCCGCAAAACCCCTGCTCCAAGGAACAGCCTGGGGGACACAAATCCCGCCCCCAGGTCCCAACAAGTCTGTTCCCTGAACAGCCCCGGGGTGGGGGGTGGGAAAAGAAGGCACAAACCTTTCCCCCAATCCAAACCAGATAAACCAGCTAATTCCAACAGGTTATGCACCCCACCTGTGGATCCTGCCGTGCACCACATCACAAGGCACAACCTACAAGCCATATACCCACTTGCAGAGCCCACCCTGTCCGTAACAACAGTGTGTTTTCACGTTTGACATTGCATCCTCGTTGCCAAAAACTAACGGGGTGAGTTCGAAAGGATGCCGAGATTGAAAACCAAGAATGCTGAAAGCTCAACAATAAACCCAATATTTATTACAAAAGTGGCCAAATAAATGGTAACCCAAGAGACAGGAAAGGAGAGGAGTGAACTAAGCCCTCAGTGAAACCCCCACTCACGCAGGTGTGTTTTATGAGGTTCTCTTACTGACCACAGAATAACCAGAATTCACCATAGCAGAGGCTGCATTCTTGGAGGGTCAACAGGCTGACAAAGATAGCAGGCGTCCCTGCAAAAGGCAACGTTGTCCTTCATGTGAAGCTTGAGAGCCCCGAGCAACGAGCCACCTGCATTTTTTATCCAAGTAGCTGGTGACGTTTACCTGGGCCAGTGTGGCCAGCACCGCCCAGTTAGAGGCCTTCGGTCCCTCCCCCATTATATAAGCGAACCCATTCAGCGCATGCAACTCCTCTCTCACATGCACTGTTTCACTCAAGGGGTCTTATCTATTTGGGTCTGGGGGCTTTACTTCATCCTCTCCTCCTCAGTTTCTCCTTCAAATGTCCTCTACAGACAATTATAGAAAACCAATTAAAATAGTTTATACAAGAAACTGTCTCTCCAAGGACGAAGCTCCCATTTATCAGTGAACTTGGCAGGCAAAGAACAAAACTTTCACAGGTGACTGGGCCAAACACAGACCAAAAAATATCAACAATCTCTGATACAATTCACCATCCCTGGAGGGATTTAAAAAGCACATAGATATGATGCTTGGAGATATGATTTAGGGATGAACTTGGCAGGGCTAGATTAACAATGGGACTCAATGATCTTATCTTTTCCAATCTGAATGGCTCTTCCCTGGGAAGCTGCCACAATTCCCTTGATCCATTTTTTTCCCCTTGACTTATGGATATATAGAATGGTTTAGATTGGAAAAGACTTTTAAGACCATAGAGTCCACCTGTTGACCCAGCACTGCCAAGTCCATCCCTAAACTCTGTCAATACCCCAGAGCAGTCACTTGCTGGCCTCAGTGTTATGGATTTCCTACAGTTCCTAGTGCAGCTCATTTGCCCAAACCCCATTTTTCTTAGCAAGAACCTGCACCCTCAGCTACTTCAGCTAATTTTGCATGCATTTATTTTAAATTTTAATTCAGCAGCTTCTGGAAACTTTTTCCTGCAACTTTAGAAAAAATTGGGCCAAGGGTAGTTTGTGGGAAAAAACCAAAAAAACAAACCACAAAACCCCAACTTTTTGTTTATACCAGTTAAACTTCTTTCAGGAGTTGAGCCCTACAGCACTGGAATGGGATCCCACCAGCCTGAGCCCTGCACATGAAGTACTAAGCACCAGGAACCCCCAGGATGGGTGGGGGATAGCAGTCAGCCCCAGCCTCCCTGAGCTGCTCCAAGTGACAACCATGAAGACAGCAAAACATTTAAGTTAATGGAAACAAGTCTTTATTAAGTAACTTTTAATATCAGAAAAATAAAACTCTCATAATTCTCTTTACAGTAAATATATAATATCAGTGCTTTGGCCATCATAAGTTAAAGGGCCTTTATCATAAAATATATAATTTTTAAACTTTACTAAAATTGAATTTATAATCCCTATGACCTCCCTACATATACATAACAAAGAGTGTAGTAAAATTAGCAAATACTAAGCTAGATCAATAGTTTATCATTCTTAGTTTGTGGTTTATAGAAGTGGTAAACGCACCTAATGTCTGTTGATTCCTTGGCTTATTAGTTGTGATGTACAATGCAATAAAACAAAATACACACTTGGTGAACATTTTTTCACATCTACAAGACTGCAGTTAAAGATCAGGTTTCAATACTGACGTAACCATTCTACAAGCAATTATAGTAATAAAATTATGCAGTACATAATATGCCTTCAAGGCAACTCTTATAATGAAAATTATAAAATAAAAACATTTATTTGTAAACTTTTATAGGAAATGTAACTCTTCAAGTGGAAATAAAGTTTTCTGTATATTTACTAGTTCAATACACAATTTCTTTTTTTTGTCTTGGGATAATAATGCTTTAAAAATAAAAAAAAAATACATTTGAACTCTTCTTTGTGTCTTTTGTTTGTTTGTTTTTTCTGTTTTAATATATGCTAGTAGATTTGGGAACGTACTGAGGATGAAAAAGCTAGAAACATCCACAGGTTGAAATGTAAGAAGCTCATTCAAGGGATTTTTTCTTTTTCTTTTTGGAAAGACAGTTTTGAAATTAAGTAAACTGATTGCAGGATCACTGTCACAGCTGCTGTCATGAATAATACAAGGGTATTTATTTACACAACCCCTTTTTCATACTAAAAATAAAATATATATGTGTATTGGGTCTGGCTGAGATTGAGTTCATTTCTGCATAGTAGCCCTCACAATGCTGTGCTTTGCATTGGTAGCTAGAAAGGTGTTGATAACACATCGGTGTTTTGGCTACTGCTGAGCACAGCATCCACACTGTAACATTCCTTCCCCAATCATGGGCAAGACCCTGGGACAGGACACAACCAGGTCAGTTGACCCAAACTAACCAAAGGGATATTCCATACCCTACGACCTCAGCTCAGGTATAAAGCTAAGGAAATGAGGAGGAAGGGGAGAGCATTCATTGTTTACAATTTGCCTACTGAGAAACCACTATGCGTTTTGAAAGCCCTGCTTCCTAGGAAGTGGTCAGACATCACTGTTGATGGGAAGTAGAGAATAAACCTTCTTATTTTCCTTTTTGCTTGTGTGAGCACAAACTTTTGCTTCTGCTTTAGGAAACTGCCTTATCTCAACCTATGAGTCATTTTCCATCTTATTCTCTCTCCCCTGTCTGGTTGGGGAGTGATAGAGCAGCTTGGTGGGCAGCCAGCACCCAGCCAAGGTCAATCCACTACAGTAAGACATGAATTGAACATAAAAATGCTTTGAATTTTTTACATACTCTCTCAAAAGGTATTTAAAGAACAGTTTGATCAGACTAATGAACAGAATGTCAGCATCATCACTATAAGTCAAAGTATGTGCATCCCAAAGCCCTTACTATAAATGGATGAAACCAGCCAGACTTTTTCCATATTACGCTAAGAAAAGCAGTGGGTAGGAATTCACAAATTGAGACAGTCCTGATCCTCTGAACATACTGCCTTTATCAAAGACAAAATGGAGGTATGTCAGGTAGCTTCTCTCTCCCCATCTTACTGTAATTTATTATCTGAACCTGCCAATAATGCAATCCATTTCAATAACTAAACTATGCTTTAAAACAAAAGATATTTGCAATGCTGAAGAATTAGACATAAATTGTCACACAAAGGAAAAAATACTTCCCCAAACTTGTTTTTTAAAACTGGTAGAAGACAGCATTGTGTTGTTTGATACATTAATAATGCCACATACCCTCCAAGGCAGATGAGTACTTTTGCATTTAGACAACAAGGTTCATTGCTGCCAGCACACAGAAGTCAAACACTTAACAGAGATCTTTTAGAAAAGCCTGCAAAATTTGTTTTTTTGTTTGTTTGTTTTTTTTCTGTTGTGCAATTTATGAAAACTTCCCCTCACTGTGCCATAACATTACACCAGATGTATCTGCTAAACATGCCATCTGCTTACACTGAACCGGACAGAGACCACTTAGGTTTAGTGTTACCAAAGCAGGCTTTTGAGAAAGTATAAGTTCAGCCTAATCCCAAGAAAGCCCAAGTCAGAATTCATTAGAAAGTTTACTAGAGGGTACCATTACACCCACGCCTTTAAGAGTCTTTAAAAGTCCACATATAATAATATCTATATATATTTAAGAGTGGATTTGAATTGACTGAGTAACAGTTGTCTGGCAAACAGGACACAATGGTGTATCCTTTTCACAGATTTTGTTGGCACACTCCAGACAGAAGAGATTGTGGCCACAGGGGACCAGGGTTGCAATTACTTCACTCTCAAAGCAGATCACGCAGTAGTGCTTCTGTCTCGACTCAGGAGGCAAGCTGGACATGGAGCCACCATTGGAAGATGAATAGCTGTTGGTGCCATTGGAGAATGCAGGAATGTAGATGAGAAGGCCTGCTGGGTGGCCAGCGCTAGGTGGGTCACTCTTCCCTCTCCTAGACAGTGGGTGATCCAGGCTTTCTGGAAATGTGGGTGACAGGCGAGGAGTAGATGGTCGGCTCCCTTGGCTTTGAGGCTTGGCATTACTAACAGAGTCACTACCAAAGCCAGAGAGAGGGTTTACAGGTTCAAAAGGAGTCCAAATGGTTTGGGAAGGCATTGGTAAGGAGTCGTACACAAGAGAGTCAACCGCAAGGTCTTCCGTGCTCACTGAAGGCAGTGTTTCTCCAAACCAAAAGTTGCCTGTGCTGAAAGGACTCGTTGGGCTGAAGTCAGCCAAGCTATTGCTTCCAAAATAGGAATCTGTGGAGCCACTTCCCAAGGAGCTGGAACTGTCATTCATATAATTAGAAATCATTCTGGTGTGGCTAAGAGGGACAGGGTTAGAAGCAAGCCATGCAGAACTGAGAGTGCCTCCTTCAAACCTCACATCTGTACCGTTGTAGTGGAAATCACTCTCTTCATTCAGCTTGATGTAGCTCCCAGTACGCATGGCTATATGTATCTCTATCTCCTCACGTGCACGGTCAACATCTTCAGGCATTCCCGTGACTTCGAAGACTGGCTCCATGTCCCTGTTGGGGGTGACTATGTAGGTATGGGTCTGTTGCTGAATTCTTTTGATTGTAGCTCCTTTTGGTCCAACCACCAGCCCAACTACATGGTAAGGCACCCTGACTTGGACTGTCATCTGACCTGGCAGGTTAGGGGTGCATGGTAGGCCTCCCAGGGCAGGACCGTTCTTGTTGCGTGATGCTCTGATCATAGAGAAGTGTTCAGCAGCTGAGAGAATTTCCCTTTTGGTCATGGCTACATCCTCTTTTCGTCCAGTGACAACAAAGATGGGTTCTTCTCCACGAACAGGGGTCTTAATGTAAGTATTTGTCTTGGTCCTTAGTGCTTTTATTTTGCAACCTGTTTAAAGGAAACACACACAAGTTTAGCAAGACATTCACATTTAGAAAGCCACAAGAAAGTAATCTATTTTAAGCTGTTTGAGAGCTTCAAAAAACTGTAGGGGTGAAACCAGAAGCAGTCACATTAGAGAAAGCAGTAACAACTTCTACCTATTACTTCCAAACAGACCTCTGACACTTATACCCACAAACTATTTTAGCAATGTTTCTTGGGTTGGTTTAGCCCAGCAACTCCTCAATTCCTATTAGATGGTAAATAAACATGAATGGCTTTTTCCTCTGTCAGTCACCTTCATGATTATCCCATACATACTGGTAGGTTTAATTTTTTTCCATTAATTGGGTATCCTTCAGTTATTTTTAAGATCCTGCAAAAGGAGTAAAGGTTCACACAGAAGTCTGCTAATATATTAGCCTTTCACCGACAAGCACAACCTAAAAGCAAATTAAACATTTACAAGTGAGATAAGTGTCTGTATTGCAACATGTGTAGGATATAGATAAAATTTATTAACTGAAAAGTCTCCATTTGCTTCCTGTTATCGATGTGCTATTTAAAACTTTACTCTTCCCTGTGGGATGAAGGAGCCACTCCTCAAACTGTCAAGTGGGAGTTCAAGCAGTTCACTGAATGCAAATAAGACTTACTATGTAATAGTATGTTCCTACGTGGAATTTCTCCCAATCATCTGCTGGGTTAAGAACTGGCTGGAGGGGCCGGGCCCAGAGTGGTGGTGAATGGTGCTGCATCCAGTTGGCAGCCGGTCACTAGTGGTGTCCCCCAGGGATCAGTATTAGGCCCAGTTCTATTTAATATCTTTATTGATGATCTGGATGAGGGGATTGAGTGTACCGTTAGCAAATTTGCAGATGACACCAAGTTGGGGGGTGGGGGGAATCTGCTGAAAGGCAGGAGGGCTCTTCAGAGGGACCTGAACAAACTGGAGAGATGATCTGATTCCAACGGGATGAGGTTCAGCAAGGTCAAGTGCCAGGTCCTGCACTTTGGCCACAACAACCCCATGCAGTGCTACAGGCTGGGGACAGCGTGGCTGGAGAGCAGCCAGACAGAAACAGACCTGGGAGTTTGGATTGACAGGAAGCTCAACATGAGCCCGCAGTATGCCCAGGTGGCCAAGGCCAATGGCATCCTGGCCTGTGTTAGGAACAGTGTGGCCAACAGGACCAGGGAAGTGATTCTTCCCCTGTACTCAGCACTGCTGAGGCCACACCTAGAGTGCTGTGTCCAGTTCTAGGCCACTCAGTTTAGGAAGGATATTGAGGTGCTGGAGTAGGTCCAGAGAAGAGCAACCAGGTTGGTGAAGGGACTGGAGCACAAGTCCTATGAGGAGAGGCTGAGGGAACTGGGGTTGTTTAGCCTGAAGAAGAGGAGGGTCAGGGGAGACCTCATCACTCTCTACAACTCCCTGAAAGGAGGTTGTAGCCAGGTGGGTGTTGGTCTCTTCTCCTAGGCAACCAGCAGTAGGACAAGCTGTGCCAGGGGAGGTTTAGGTTGAATATTAGGAAGAAATTTTTTACAGAGGGAGTAATCAGATATTGGAATGGGCTGCCCAGGGAGGGGGTGGATTCACTGTCCCTGGAGGTTTTTAAGATGAGACTGGAGGTGGCACTTAGTGCCATGATCTAGTAACCACAGCGGTGTTGGATCAAGGGTTGGACTTGATGATCTTGGAGGTCTTTTCCAACACAGTTGATTCTATAATTATATTCTAAGATTCATTGATTAAATACAGTCTGAAATAGAAGCAAAAAAGTTAATGAAACATTGATCTTTTATTTTGGGGGACTGAGTTATAAAGTATGCTATGACACAGTGACAACAGGTTCTTTCCTAAGATGCTCAAGGCGTTTTGAAAAGCATGGTGCATATAGAAGCCTCTTTTATCTATCACAGGACCAGAAAGGCAGGCAGTGTGAAAGTAAGAGACACAAGCATGTCCATGACATGCAAGATAGTCTACTGGATTCAGTCTTCACTGAATTTATCCTATTTTAAAACAAATTCAAAAGCATGTCACATTAAATGTTATTTTATAGTGAACCCCATCTTGAAAAAACTAAGTAACATTTGCATATCAAGTGTTTTAAGTATCATTTCACTTGCAGCAATTTGTTCACCTTTTCCTTATTTACTTTAAGCATCTCATAACTGTCTGGGTACTCAAAATAGTCTCTCCAAATAGTGTTTTGTCAGTCTTTTGCACCCAAAGTATCACTAGCAATAAATTTTACAATTAGAAACCACGCAAAGATGCATTTTATTCAGTACTATCTACTAATAAAAAAAAAAAAAAAGGTAGCACAAACATGCAGATGCTGGTTGGAATACAGGGGAGGAAGAGCTGCTTCTCACAGGACCCCTGCACACAGCAAGGACAAAGGTTGAACACAACAGCCCTTTGCTTCCAGGACACAGCTGGAGAGGAAGTTCATTATCTTTAATAGCTGGTCCAGAGGGCTCCCTTGAGGGAAGGAGTGAGGTACAGACATATCTGTGCAAAGGAGGGGATGCAGATCCAAGAGCCAAACATGTTGATCAGTAAGAGCAGTGTCAGTGGGAGAGAACGAACCTGTAAGCCTCTATCTCCCACTACAGCTCACTGAGAAGAGCACTAGTGCTCTATTAAATGAAAAAAAAAAAAAAAAAAAAAGGGAAAATATAGCATGAGGTGCCTTACAGAAGTGGCAAAGCACACATCCTTTGAAGGCATGCCATTTCCCTACATGTACCAGAGAGCAGCACCTCACTTTGGCAATTTACCTTTACTCCTTCCATCTCTTTGTTTGCATTTCTCCCTGTAAGTAAATGCTTGCCCACTCCATTCCTATCCCTTCCCAGTTACTCAGAAAAGACAATGGGCTCAAACCTTAAACCCAAAGGTTCCGTAAAAATGGTGCCACTGAAGTTTTCACACTCTTTACTGGAACATCTAAAACCAAAGTTAGTCTCCTGATATGTATCAATTATTCTCCAATATACACAGATACTTTCATTTACTCCATTCCACTCAAGTATATATCCTTATTTCCTAAAAATTACATAGGCAGCATTTAAAAAAATACTAGAGGCATCTAGACATACACATATAAATAGCAATATAATTCTTTATTATATACCACAGTTCAGAGCTTAATTAAGTCCAGATTCCAAACAGCCTTACCAATTCTTACAGTTTACATTTTACACAATATTTTCCTGATGTTTCAGAAATTCAAGTTAGAAGTATGCACCTTCATCTCCATTCCCTGCAAGCTCCCAGAGATTGCTTTGCCAGAGTCACATTTCCAAACCACTCTTGTATGAAGAAAAGCCTTCTTGCCTTTATTTCTCAGGTTGCAGAAAGGCACAGACCAAGGTGAGTAGAGCTTTTCTTTTAAGGTACAAGTCACATACCTAGAAAGCAGAGGCCAAACAAACACTGCCTCAATTCCCTGCAGCAACAGAACAAGACTTTTAGACATCGGAAAGCGGGCTTCAATGGAAAGCTGACTCCCCAGATCATCAACTCTCAATCTTTATCTGAAGTTAGAAAGAACTGAAGAAAGTCACCACATACAAACCCCAATATTTCTGAACGAGTCAGTCAATACCCAATGGATTTTTGTCTGCAAGGAATGCTGGAAACCCCCACAACTGTCATGTCAAAGCATAAGGTCAGTAAGCCCATTTATACCACTCCAGCTGAATGACCTTTCTATTTGCTTTTACTCAGCTGCTCTGGTTTCCCACCCTCCTCCATTAGTCACTACCGAGGCAACCCTGCAAAGCGCAGCTGATCTCATCCCCTCTCCAACAATTCTGCAGCCACAATGACACAAGTTCTACCAGCTGTGAAGTCACATGGACAAACGAGAAATCAAGGAGTTTCTATGTCTAAGCTCAGGAGACTGGGAAAGACAAGAGGGGAAGAAAAAAATACATCACCCACACTTTTGCAATGAGATTTTTGTATCCAAGATTTTGAAGTATACAAAGAAAGTCTGAAAAGGGGACTTCTAGACCAGAAATGTCATTTAATCAAACCTTTTCAAGTGATTTTAGTTTGGTGTGATAACAAAAGTCTATTCAATACCAGTTTAGCAGTATGAACATTATACTCCCCAAGAAATTTAAGGGTAGCTCTGAAGGAATAGTTTACCTCATACACTGCCAGTTTTAAATTATCAAATACTTCTTAACTAAAAAGAGGCAATAGGAAGACATTATTTTTTCCCCTTGAAGTGAGAGTTAAGTGTAGCAGGCACAGCACCCGCAGTCCTCACCCCTCACTCCCACTTTTACCTTTCATCATCACTAACAGGATGAGATACATCAAACCCAGTCTCAAGCCATTAACTCCATGAGGGAAACTCCCCAATGGAGCCAGCAGAGCCAAGTTACCACAGTGGGAACCCTGTGCATGCCTGCTTCACACCACACCAGATGACCTGCTGCCATGAGCCAAGAACCACACAAGAAAAGCATCCCAGACTCCTGCTCTGCACAGCCATGGAAAAATATAACCTTCCCCCCATTTCTTTCTTTTGCTGAATTCACCTCTGTATCACATACTGGGAATAGGACAAGGATTGATTTACAGATGAGGTTCCCTTTGTTGTGTGGTGTCCCCTCTCTCACCAGGGGACAGGAGTCCTTCATCCTTAATACCAACAGTAGCAAAATGCAGCCTGTCACAGCAGGGACACACACCTTATACCCACATTCCTCTTGCCAAGTGCTGTAAAACTGGGGTTCAGGCACATACAGGAACTCAAACCTTCTTATCACCATCTCTGATTAACTTTGCCTCCCCAATTACAGAGGGCTTTAGGGAAAAAAAAAACAAAACTGAAAGAAGTTTATCTAAATAGAAGTCTGGAAGTCATGGTGGGTAAAAATCCAATGAGCAGCCCCTGTGAACCACAATCAAATGACAACATGAGTTTGTTCTCCTTGCCTGCTCCTGACAAGTAACTGGCTAAGGAGATCAAAACTGA